TCAGCAGGTCTTTCAACCACGAGATGTCAACCAGGGCTGTGCTAAAGCGTAGCCTGGTACTTGCCAGCGGCCGCTCAACCATCTCTCATCTTTTCTTTCTCGTCTTTATTTACTTATTTTTGTACTCCAGCTCTTTATTGGCATCTAAAGTCACTAATCTCTACCCATTACTGTTTTTGCTAATTTACAGTGATAACTGTGGCTCTGTTTTCATTAGGGGATGAAAGCCGGGAAATTAAAAAACAAATTACAGGGATGAGGAGATTACTGAATGACAGCACTGGAAGAATCTATCAACGCGTTGGCAAAGAAGGAGAAAAACTGAAGGAGGAGCCCCAAGATTTAGACTTATCCTGGGCCCAGCGCCTGAATCCCCCTGCTGAGTCCCAGGCCAGCCTTCATCCTTCACAGAGCAGTTCATGGAATGAATTATCACCCCAACCCAGCCATTTTTCAGGGCAATACGGGACTCGATCCAGAACGTTCCAAAATCAAACACGAATCGCGGCATCCAACGGTATGATCTGCATTAGATACTGAGGATAGTACATTTTTTTTCCCCTCTCTTTCCTTGTACAGTACTAAATTTCTGCCTTTGTTGTGATGATTTATTGTACCACTGCATTGAAATCAGTTATAGTTCAGAGTCTACAAAATGAGCACATAGTTATCACTTTGAAAAGGTGCGAAAGCGGGCATGGAGTAATTCTGCTGCCATCTGTCTTAGCTTTTAAAATGCATTCCCAGTGATAGGACAGAATTACTCAATGCTGCTACAGGCTTAATTTCTATACAGTACATATTAAAACAGCTTTTGCCATCGTTATTAAATTCTTAGCTAATTAAATGTCAACCACTACCACTCCTCTTTGCAACGAGTAACGTAGGGCTGTTGTGACACCACTTGCAGAGCAGGATTCTGCTGAAGTTCATAAGAGGGTGGCATCAGCCTTATAACTGGCCTCTGAACTTCAGGTACAAAATCCCATGATAGCCCTAGGCTTTTATTCTGATGGGGCCATTGGAGAAAAGAGATGATGGAATCTACCTATGAACAGCATGTACTAGAGCGTGGTCCATCTTGTGCTGGCAGAGAATTCTGCCCTGAAGTAGATGGCAGTGTGCCCTTAAAATGCTTTTTTTCTCTTGTTTTAAGTCCCAGAGAGCTGAGGTTTTACTCCTGGATTGCTGAAGGTCTTCCTTAATATTCTAATTTCAATTCAGAAAGTTTTTCCTCCAATATTCAACCCTAAATTTAGAGTAAAGGTGTACCTTAGTTCCAAATTTGGGAAAATAAAAAATTGTGAGTTTGAATCTGAAAACATTCTCAGTTTCCAGTTGATTCTGAAGGTATTCATACTTCCCAATAGGAACATCTGCTGCATGTCCTCCTCTAGAGGAATACAAATTCTCATTGCTTGTAACAGATAAAAAAACGAACAACTTTTCATTCTTGGCACTGTCCTTTAGGAAGTGCTGTCCCTGCACTAAAAAATCATGCAGCCACAGGTTTTACCAGATTGACCATTTCTCTGCAGAGACAGTGATTCACACAGAGGTACCAGGTGACCTAAAGAAAGATGTTGCAATAAGTTTAAGATTAATAAGTTAAGATTGTTTTAATTATTTTATAATACAAAAAATAGTTGTGCTTTTTTTAAAGACACAGATCCAGAGGAGAGGGGAAAAGACTTTATGGGATTTAGCATCCAAGTCTAAAACTCTCTTCTCAAAATTCCACTGTAACAAACTTCTAAATGTGGAAGGATCTGTAATTCATCACACATCACCCTCTTTGCCCCCAGATTCCCTGTGCACTGTCAGAGGCAGTTCTCTGCATGCACAGAAGTGCCCAAGCCTGCACAGCTTAGGTGCCTAGTTCCCAGATCCAGAAAGTAGGTGGAGCAGCACCTCCATCCCCTCAGGGGCCTGATTCAGCATGTGAGCTAGAACATGTTGACAGGATTTGGCCCCATATGCAAGAAAATGTCAGCACCTGAATTTTTCATATAAGGAGGAAGGGTTTCGCTGATTTATGATCTCTTACAGGTTAGAACAGTCTGTGAGACAGTAGAAGAGTTGGGTTGAGTGACCGCCTGGGCTGGACAAGGTGAATGAATGTCCAGGCTCCCAGCTCTTGGAGGACTGCACCAGGAGGCACCTTCCACCCCTCCCTCTGCAGCTGTCCTGCTGCAGAAAGGAATGCATTCTTTTAGGTTATTACATAAAGATGGGTGTGGGCCCTCTCTGCTGGCCACCTTTGAACAAACAATCTGCATACTTGGTTAGAGGTGTCTGCCTCCAGGGGGGTGTTGTGATCCTGCTGGGCAGTTTTGCTGCTTTGGCTCCAGAGCCTGGTCTCTAGGAAGGGAAAAATTTTTATGCCTTTCTGGGCTGTGAGCAAGCTCTGACACTGCTTCTCACCTAGCACACAGCTATTTTGTGAGGCTATTTGTAACATGCCTCGTTCCCCCCATCCCTTTTACACTGGAAGCCTGAGCTCCTTAGTATTTTAGAGGTTATTCAGAGGATGGACAGAGCCCTTAAAAGCTGGATATAAAAGTGCTGAGCAATACCTCAGGGGAGATACTGTGCCTTGTGTTTAAACTCATCAAAGCAAAACTGTTCAGGGAGAACATAAGCTGGTAGGACACCTGGGGCTGACAGTCCTGGGTCATAGAATCATAGCGTGGTAGGGGCTGGAAGGGACCTCTGGAGATTAAGTCCAACCTCCCTGCAGGGTCATCTGGGGAGGTCACCCAGGAACACATCCAGACAGGTCTTGAAATTCTCCAGAGAAGGAGATTCCACAGCCTCTATGGGCAGCCTGTCCCAGTGCTCCATCACCCTCACAGTAAAGGAGTTTTTCCTCATGTTGAGGTGGAACTTAATGTGTTCCAGTTTTTTGTCCATTGCCCCTCGTCCTATCAAAGGGCACCACTGAAAAGAAACTGGCCCACTCTTCTTGACACCCACCCTTTTGATATTTGTAAACATTAATAAGAGCCCCTCTCAGTCTTCTCTTCTTCAGACTAAAGAGCCCCAGGTCTCTCAGCCTTTCCTCATAAGAGAGATGTTCCAGTCCCTTAATCATCCTTGTAGAATCTGTTGGACTCTTTCCAGCATATCCCTGTCCCTCATGAACTGGGGAGTCTAGAACTGGACACAGTACTCCAGGGAGGGTCTCACTGGGGCACAGATGAAGGGGAAGAGAATCTCAGCCTGCTGGACACACTCTTCATAATGCATCCCAGGATACCATTGTCTTTCTTGGCCACAAGGGCACATTGCTGCCCTATGGGTAACTTGTTGTCCACCAGGACTCCAAGATCTTTCTCCCTGAAGCTGCTTTCTAGCAGGTCACTCCCTAATCTGTGTTGGTGAATCATCACTGGGGAGAGGTCCAAGCATCTAGAGCAGGTGCATTGTCCAGAAACTCTTGCTGTCCATTGTAGATAGGAACCATACAGGAAGCCAAGGTACAAGTTGTAGGCTCTCTGAATTAACTTGAATTTGAATGTAATAGGCATGCTAAGTCTAAGTAGTACAGTTATATACTCACCTAGTAAAGGTGATTCAAGGGATGACTGGAATGGATCTTTAATAGGTGCTGGTGTAGAAAGCAGTCATGGAAAAGGTACTGGCAAAAACAGGTGAGAGAAAAGGGAAAGCAAATCCAACAGTGATGCAGCAGCTGAATTGCTCTTTGGGTATGTTAAGATTGTTTTCCGTGGATTTCACTTGCGTGCTTTCCAAATGTGAACTCGTGGCAGCAATGTGACATCAGGTGAGTTCACTGGCAGCAGACCCAGCTGCAAGAACCACTGTCCTGGGCCAATCACTGCTCATAAGGAGGAAGCAACTAACGTATTTGTGTCATCTCCTTCTCTCAATCATACAAACTGGTATCAAATTTGCCTGCTGGCTAGCTTCCAAAAGAGATGGAGATGGCTCTTTAAAGACTCCTTCATGAAAATAAAAAGTCTGTTCTCCTTTTAAAATTAAAAATTGATTTATAACGGGTTGAAAAGGGATGCTTTTGTCCTCTAAAAATGATAAAGACAGTGCTTGGAACAATGACTGAGAACAGTCTCCAAGATGTTTCTTACAATACAGTAACTGATCAGAAGAGGGAGGATAGAAAGAAAATAAAAAACCCTCATGAATATGTATGAAGTCAGAAGAACCCTGCTTTGATTTTAAATATTGGTGGTCTCTTTTCCCATTTCCAATACCTGTGGTATATTTACATGGGTAATTTTTATCAATGCTAATGGGGATTATAATGTAAATCCCCCATGTCTTAATGGGGAAACAAACCCTTTGGTTTTCCATTAGGATTCTGTGTCCTTTCATTAGGAGCATGTTGTATTGCAACAGGAAAGAAGTACAGGTATTTACTGATACAATGAGTTCAAGTTTTCACATGCAGTTCACCACAATGCAGTCTTTGTTTAGAAGGAAACAAAAGCCACCAGCCCTGTCTCCTGCTGTAGTGGGTCAGATACTACTTCCCGAGGCCCACCAGAATCACAGAATAGTTTGGCTTGGAAGGGACCTTTAAAGGTCATCTAGTGCAACCCCCCTGCAATGAGCAGTGAGAATACTGGATTCTAATGGAGAAGATGGGCCTTATCCCTAGGAGCTTGTTAGTCTTAAGCAGCTGAGAAACCACTGGAGGAAGGATGTTATTACTATCTATTTGTCTTTTATTAATAAAGTTCCCCTCCTTTTCTGGGACTCCATTTCTGGGGTACCTGCTTCTTTTATGTAAAGTTATGGAGCTTTGCTGATGCTAATAAGTTATAAGTTGTCTTGAACCTCATCTACTTAAAAGTCTACCTTTAACAGATAGGTAAAGGGTATTGGTTTAGCCAAGTTGAGTATCTGAGTCATCTGCTGCAAAGCTAAAGATAACATTATTTATTTTCTCCATGTACCTGTAACAATGGGCTCTGCACTTTATGGACCATTGAAAAGATAAAATCCCATCAGTGCCCGAGGAACTTTCAGTGTGAATAGACACCATACAAAGGAAGGGTGAGATCAAACTAGGCAGAGTCCTGCTGAGTCAGTAACCTTTTTTTATTTTAATTTGAGACTCTCAGCCTCTTTCCCAGATCACTTTCTCCTTTTGAGAAGTTGTAGTTACAGCTGAAGCCTTAGAGAAGCTGGTGGAACTATTGCATTCATGTTTGCTAGATTTACAGAGATTCTTAAACTGCTCCATTTATTTCAATGCAGTATTAACAGGTTTTGTCCACGGATGGTATTTTAAAATGCCAAGATTTGTAACTGCAGTAAGTGTGGACAAACACTACTAATCCTCAGATCTAAACATCTGAGGAAAGGAGCTGAGCGACACCCAGATGGTGTCAGCAGTCTCTAAGTGACATATCAATTTAGCTTCACAAGTAGCTCAGTTTGGGGAGAATGACCACCTGTTTGCTCAAGCCTGATAGATGTTGCCTCAGAGCTGAAGGACTGAATGGAAGGAGGTAGAAAACAAGTGTCTGGGAAGGGAGATTTGAGAATGGAGGTACACACTGGAAGAAGGGTGGGAGCAATTCAGTGGTGGCCAGATTTTCAGCCATTTCAAAAGAGGGTTGAAGTCAGGGGATCTGTGTGGGTCTGACATCAGGGAGCTCTGATGAAAGAACACAAACTAAACCTAAAAAGGTATTAATAAACTGGTTTGGCTTCAGAGGAAAGCAGAAGTACTAATGAAAAATAGGAGGATTTATGAGCAAAGATTAAATGAGTTGCTCATGTTCACTTTAGCTAGGTAATGATTAAAGGAGCACCTGATAACTATCAGGCTATGGAAGAAAAAGGGAAATCACTTTCTGAAGTCCACCACATATGACACCAAGAGAGATGATTTCTGTTAGATCCATTTGTACCTATCTTCATAAAATGATCATCCCTCCCCTTGCATGCTTTGATGAGCAGTAAAACAGCCATCAATTTAAACAACTGTAAGCACATTTTGAAATGAAGGGGAGGTGCATCCCATCTGGCCTCAGTTACAAGCAGATACTGCTAGGTGTTTTGTTGAATTTTGAAATTTTTATTTGCAGTGTTAAATCTAAGGATACAGCTATTTTAAATTGAAGTGCAGGATACAAGTATTCAGGTAAAGCTTGAAATCTTTCAGCTGTTACAACCCATCCCAATTCAGGACCTACTAAGCAAAACTTCTGGAAAGCAAGGCAGTAAAAAAAGCACTGCAGAGGGCTAGAACTAAATATAAATTCTGCTAAACACTAGTAGGGATTACTAGAAAAGTAGAGTATCTGTTGAGCTACCATATTCATTTTCAGAGGAAATCTTGTAGGTCACAGTGCTAGAAAACATGCTGTAGGAAACAGTCCCACACTAGCAAACAGAAGAATAGATTTGAAAGCTTTTCTTGCTGGTGGTTCTTTTCCATCCTGGTTTGGTGGTTTGTTGTTTTTTTTCATTTTTCTGAGTAGGAGATTTTATTTTCCTCAATTCTTCACATGGTGAAGAATCACAGGTAATACTCAAGTAGTTAAAAAATTCTTAGGCCCTCATTTAATGTACAGTATAAACCTTTATTACACAGACTGTCTTCATTCTTTGTAAGATTGTTCCGGGAGATGGGCTTTTTTTGTGTGTGTGATAAAGTGAGTATGTTTATAATGAGGTTTGGTGCTATTGTTATTCAAGATGAACTAGCCTGACAGAGAGCCCTGCTGTGAAGAGCACATTGTATTCAGGCTCTGAGCAGTCTTCTCCAGTCCATGTAACATTGCATCCCCTACTATATATAATTGCACAATCTAGTAATAGGATAAAAACTAGAGGCTCCTTCCTCTTCAAAGGGACCATGTTGAAAATTACTTGCTTTCTTGCTTTGGATCTAATTTTACAATCAGTTGCTTTGATAATAAATGCCTGCTCGTCATTGTTGTTTGGGTGTTTTGGGGTGGATTACGTATCTCTCCCCATTTTTGTTCCTCTCTCTTTCAGGAGAAGTCCCAGTGGTGAATTCATCAATTGGACCAAACTGCTGTACATGTAATTGCCAGTCAACCCTACAGGCTATTCTTCAAGAGCTCAAGACCATGCGAAAATTGATGCAGATTCAAGCAGGTACAATGACTGGTCCCATACATGTGTATCCATGACGAGCATCTTCTTTTTAGAAGGAATGGTCTAGTGAGACCCCACCTGGAGTATTGTGTCCAGTTCTGGAGCCCCCAGCATAAGAAAGACTTGGAGCTCTAGGAGCGAGTCCAGAGGAGGCCACAAAGGTGATCAGAGGGCTTGAGTACCTCATCCATGAGGACAGGCTGAGAATTGGGGTTGTTCAGCCTGGAGAAGAGAAGGCTACTGGGAGACTTCATAGTGGCTTTCCAGTACCTAAAGGGGCTACAGGAAAGTGGGGCAGGGGCTTTTGACAAAGACATACAGTGCTAGGACAAGGGGTAATGGATTAAAACTGGAAGAGGGGAGATTTAGGTTAGACATTAGGAAGAAATTCTTCAGTGTGAGGGTGGTGAGACACTGGCACAGGTTGCCCAGGAAGTTGTGGATGCCCCATCCCTGGAAGTGTTCAGGGACAGGTTGGATGGGGCTCTGAGCAACCTGGTCTAGTGGGGGGTGTCCCTGCCCATGCAGGGGGGTTGGAACTGAATCATCTTTAAGGTCCCTTCCAACCCAAAACATTCTGTGTTTCTATGAAGACAGAAATCCATGTGGAGACCCAGGAAACCTTGGACTGTTTCCTGCTCTATTGACACAGGGTTCAAAGTCAAATTTTTGCTTGGAAATGTAATTTTTACTTCTCAGATCTTTCCCTCTAACATGGAATGTTATCTTGTAAAAATCTTTTAAGGCTAAATTGAAAAAAAAACTCAATTGAATGTGGTTAGGTACTCTAGGAGTGAGAGCTGAGGGGGTAGGTCAGTATGCCATAACCACCCCCAGTTTGTTCTCATGGTGTGTTCATTCAGAGGTGGCCTCTTCTGGGTGGAGTGAAACACTACTTTGCCTGTTCTCTGTTTTCCAGTTCACGAATTTGAGTGCTAAAAAAAAAATATGGAAAGGCCACTTGAAGTTATACAATAACACTTCATTCAAAGATCTTTCAAGTTACAGCTCTGTGGTAGCCTCAACTGAGCTAGCTGCTGCATGTTGTGGCCTCCACCCTTCTCATACTGGTTGAACTACTGGCTGAACCAGTAATGATCTGTTCCTTGGGGAAAACTGTTGAATCTCGTTTTCTGCTGGGTTAGGAGCTGAAACAACAGTGCAGAGCCAGAAGAGCACTGGAGCCAGCAAGATAACGAGACCATGGCAGGTGGGAGTTAGGTTGGTCATTGTAGGCTGCTATGAAGCTGCAGCCTCCAGGCTTCCTAAAAATTAGTGTTAATGCCAATGGGGAGTTGGAGACATTGGAGATTTTGTCAGTTGAGTGTCCCATCCATTGTGGTGGGGGGTGGAGCCATGGAGGTTTTTCACCTAGAGTAGCTGGATAAGACCTTCTCTGGAGACTTTTAAGACCCATCTGAACATGTTCAGTGTGATCTGCCCTGGATGTTCCTGCTGCAACAGGGAGGGTTGGATTTGATGATCTTCAAAGGTCCCTTCCAACCCCTGTGATTCTATGATTCTAAGAAAAGGGAGTGTTGAGTAATTAACTGAAATATGGGTGGAGTGAAGGGCTGACTGAACTCCTTGTCTTTGCAGTGTATAATGCCTGAGTGAGCCACAGGAAGGATCAGACAGGTTTTGTCATATCAAAATGCTTTTCTAAAAGTCACTGGTTTACAAAGAAGCACACAAAGACTCAGGTTATCAATCTTTGCTGGAACAGGGAATTCTTTACACAGTTGCACCAATTTTGTTGAAATTAAATGCATGATTAAAACTGGTTTGTGGGTGAGAGGTACAGGGCTGAGGTTTATGCCAGAGCAGCTGGCTCCTCAGTAGCAGGAGAGTTTCTTATCTATTATGTATCTGGACTACAAGTACCTTGTTAATTAGTGCATCTCTTGATTCACTGAGAATAGTTAATATTTTCTGGTAGGCATGGAATTATGGGTTTGTAGAGAAAAATAATAATTCAGCATTTTTGTTGCTAAAGAAAAAAACCTAAAATGCAAATATGTGAGTGAAAACATAATGACTTATTTAAGTATTCAAACACCATTCTGTCCAAATGATAAAATAAAAATTACAGTCTTGTAAATCCTTACCAGAAATGAAATACCTCAGAAATCTTTAATAAACAGTATTCCAAGGTGTTTTTTTTTCCTCAGGCTGTGTAGATGAGGACTATTTGTAGTTCACACGTAGCTCAAATGAGTTTGATTTGCACGTGTAGCACTTCTGGCTTTTTTGTTTGTTTCTTTTGACCTTGATCTTACTGATTCATCCAGACATGTAATTGTATGTGCAGTGTTCTGCTGGAGGACTCACTTATATTGATACAAGTTTAGGATTGGTGCTTTAATGTATACAAGCATTATACAAGCATCCCAAATACAAATTATTTGGGATACTGGAAAATGCAAAATACTGATAAATATCAAATATGGTCTCTTAGATTTCAGAGGTAACACGGGAACTGTCAGTTTCTGTGTATGAACAAGAGCAAAACAAACTGATGCAACTTTGGGTTACTTTTTTCCCAGAAATTAAACTATTGAATAGTGTTTTCACTCATTTTTGACATAATGGTACTTGAAGTGTTCTTGCTGAGCTAATTAACTTGGTAACTACATTCATAAAAATAACTGCAATTCCATTAGCCCTTGTATTACCTTATTTTATCAGGAAAAGATTCTCAAAGACAACGAGATTCTCAGTCATTCAAGAGGGTGTACAAATTAATCATTGCTTAAGTCCTTCATGTCACCAACTATCCAGTGGTCACTAGGAAAGAGAGCCATGTATTCCTAATTTTCCTTCAACACTATTCATCAGTGTGTCTTGAAAAACCTCATAGTGGAGCTCAGTGTCATTATCTCCATTGTACAGATTGGAAACTTATGCAAAGGTGATAAAATGTATCTGTTTCACATGCCCAAACCATTCTGCTTATCTAGAAGACGAGTTCAGTGTGTCGGTAGTTGAACGGTGCGTCCATGGTTACACGGGTGCTGTTGTCTCTGCATTTAGTTCATTACTTTCTTTCATTCAGTTGGGACTCAAAACAGACAGCAGCCTCCTGTTCCCCTGATTTGTGCACAGAAGTCGACAATATCAAGAAAGAGAAATAAAAAGAAAAAACTGCCCCTCAAAACTGTTGAACCAGTTACTGGAAATAGGAAACCCAACGCCGCAGAGAGCGAAAAGAAGCTATCGGCAAACTCGGAACGATCAAGTCTGCAAGCAGATGAACCCCCCCTAAAACCAGAAACCCCTGTTTCAGGATTTGGAATTATCCTTGAATCGGCTTCATCAGATGTAAGTTAATATTTTAATGTGTGGGATCACAGGATTTTAAAGCACTAACTCACTCAGGAGAATCAGTACTCAAGTCAGGTTGACGTCTGTTCCCTCTTATTAGAATAAACAAGCAAATCTTGTGTAGGGTTGAATGGAGACAGTAGGGTTAGACATGGGGGGTGCTGATTGCAAAGTTTTGAGGTTTGTTTCTTTTCCAGCTTCCATGAGTGTGTAGCTCTCCCTTGAGTTCAAGGCTGCCTGTTGTTTGAGCTTGCAGCAAAAACTTGTTCTTCAGCTCTCCTGTTGCCAAGAGGCACCATGAGATCAGGAGCCGTGAAAAGCACTGCCTGTATAAACCATTCTCAACCCTGGCATTTGCTGACAAGCACACATAGTCCACACATATGCCTTTATCCTGCCAGGATGTGTTTATGTGCTGTGTTTCATGCCTGGCTGGTCCCACTGGCTTCAGGGGGTTCCTCACCTCTATATAGTTCATACCTCAGTCTCTGATAAATTGGGTCATTTGATCTTCATCACTGTGGTTGCTGGATGAGGGCCTTGATGCTGCTGCTGATGTCAGTGGGACTGAAGGGGCCAAAAGTTGCTGCTGTCAAAATGTGTACTTGTCAATGTAAAATTGCAATAAGCATGTTTTCTTGATTGGTGCAACTGGTACCCACTGGTAGAACTGTCATGTATCTGGTGGCTGATTGGCTTTGTTTAATGACCAAGTAGGTGTCATCTGAACCTGTTCACTGATGAGTAACCTGATCATTAATTTCTCTTAATATAGTTTTAATTTTGAGCAGGCAGTTTCCAATTTCCTAAGTTGTATGAGCTAGAAAAACATAATTAAATTCAGTATCAATAAGTATAAATGAAAACAATGCAGCAGATGATGTTCTACCTATCTGGAAGTGGGAAGTAATAATAAAAAAGAGCAGTCATGATAATTCAGTTATATAGATGCAAGCCACACCACTAATTAGATTGCAGTCTTGTGCCATAGAGTCAGTACAGGGATACAAAATAACTAATTTGATACTTTTTTAGAGGTTTTCCTTTTGTAGTATTATTCTTAATAGGGTTTAAGGGTATGGTTTGGGGAGGGACTGGTAATTTATCTCCAATACATAGTTTGTGCTTAGAATTATTCTTTGCTTGTGGCACTCTTTTCAGCTTGAAATGTGGGTTTGAAACCAGTTTTGTACTTGGATGGAATTTAATTTAACTTTATGAATGTGTTCCATTGCTGGACACAATTCTTGGTTGGTGCCAGTTTGACCTGAGGAAAAAAAAAGATAAAACATGTGGCTTATAAATCAGGTCCTCATCTGCCCTGCTGTGCTTTGGCCCCTGTTTACCACAGTGGTTGTTTGACTGCATTTACAGAGCCAGAACCCAGAGACACACAAATTGATTTTGTTTTGTCTTTGGAAAGAAAACAGTTGAGTTCTGAAAATAGGTATATTTCACAGCGAAATAAAATGTGACCTGAAACATTTTGAGAAGGCCAGAGAAAGTCACATCTCTCAGAATGAATGGCAGTACTATCTTTTGCTATTTATTCATAAGCATCTTCAGTGTGCTTATGACCAGCATGTCTGAAAAAACTGAAAGACATTTTACATAGCACCATAAATGACTTTTCCTTTGAGAATATTGCCCAGGTTGTCTGTCGTGTGGGATGTGTCATACATCACCACTGTCACCACTGTTACTTTGCCAGTGTTTATTGCACTTTCAAGAAAAATCTCAGTTTCATATGTATAAAACTGGGGCTACTGAAACCAAATGCAATTAGTTCTGATTTGCTGAGGTGAAATACTGCTACTTCTGGAGATGGAAAAAGGCTTTGTGAGACCAACTTTTAATCCGGCCCATGAATTAGAGAACCTGCTTTTTAAATGCAGTCGTCTGTTAATCTCAGTTAAACTTTCTCATGTTTGTTTTAGTTTTATAATATTCCATTTATATTCTAATCATTTCTAATCTATGCTGTACAACCTAGTAAAATGTCTAGGATTAAATCTAATTCACTGCCTGTCAGTTTTAGCACAGCAAAAGCCTTTGGCATTCAGGACTTATTTATTTTATTGTACATGAATAGTTTACCCACCGGTTCCTTATGCCATGATCATTATCTGCTAAAAAATGCTTTTCCTTTTGCTTTTAAAGTCCAATTAGGCACTGATTGTCTTAGATTGAAGAATAGTTTGCTACTAAAGGAAGGCAAGAATAAATCAGGAGTTTGCCTTCAAATTATTTCACTGATACAAGAAATTGATTCCTATATTAAGAATAAAATAGTAAAACTTATCATTGACTCCTCCATGCTGGTGCTCTGGTGAGGTTTCAGATGTATTTTACAGCTGTATTGGTGAAGGTGTTTTGTCTGTGGGAGGTGTCTTATATCATTGAGGTCATCTTAGATTGCTATCACAAGCCTCAGGCTACAGAATAGGACAAGATACCTTCATCACCATGACAACTACATTCTGTGTTTTGACTGACATGAGGTAAAGTTTTTCCCAAGTTGTAAACACATTTATTTGCACTTGAAAATCTTTTCTGTCACCAGAAAGTCTAGGAGTAACATTAAAAACCCACCTACATCAGAAGATTGTCAAATAGAATAACTCTGTTTTGCTGGATCCAGCATTTTGAAGGTTCTCAAGGTAAAAAAACAACAACTTTCATCCAGAACAAGCTGAGAAACTTGTGTGCTTTTTGGAGATTAGTTTTTATTACTATCTGCATATTTTAAGATTCTTCACCCTCGTTTCCCAGAGCATTGTAATCTTCAGTTTTATCACACAATGCACATGCATATCCAATGACAATATAAGCTTTGAAAATATTCTGCTTGCTGTAGCTCTCTTGATATTGATTTTGAAAAATGCATGGGGAAAGTTACACAGCCAAATACTTCTGAGATTGGCAGCCCTTTCTTCTGTCTAGACTCATGATGTTTCCAGGTGATTTGATGGGAGATGGCATTTGCTCTGTAAACATCTCTGAAAACATACCATCACTGCTGGTTGTATTTTCTTGTAGGGGGGAAAAGTGGAAGTTAGTAGGAGCAAGGTGGTAATGTTAGCTTATTTTCTTACATCATGACCACTGATTTTCTCCTCCCCTTGCCCAACTTCCAGATAATATATTAAAATTTTAGTTTGTGCATGATTTATCTTCATTCTAGAGCTATAATGATTCCATACAGATTTCTTGTGTAAGCACTGTGTGGTAGTCACAGAATAAAATACTGCCAATATTGTTTGTGTAATTTCTGATGTGTGCAGACAGGGGCAGCAAAAAGATTCTTACTAAGGGGACTTCCTTGAAGGCCTTTGTCTGCTTTGGCCCACAAGGTACTTGAGAAAAAAATCTTGTGAAATACAGGATGATTTTGTTTCTTCTTCTTCTCCTCCATATCACTTTCCAGCAGTTGTGTAAATCCCTGTGATTTACAACTGAGGTGGTGGAGTTTTTTGTGCTGAAATAAGCTATCTGACATCATCCTGTTCTAACCATGTATTTTGGGAATATGAAAAGGAGGGGAAAGTGATGATCAGCAAGCACTGGCTCTAAGGGCAAACCTTCAAACTCATCATCCACTCACATGGGCTCCATCTGCGCTTGGAAGCCCTCTTGGGAAACCACATGGAAGAAGCCAGTAGCCTTGCAATTGTCCTTCTTGGAAGCACCTGGCTGCCCCACAGTGTGCTCATTCACATCATTTGGCAGTGAAACAAGTCCATAAAATGGTTAGATAAGTGTCCAAAAAGCTTCAGGTAGGAATATTGCTCTGTGATGATCCTCTGGTTTGTCATGATTATCCAATATTGAGAGGTATCTCTTTTCTTTTTGTTAGCTGTACGCCTAGAAATAATGTCAGTAATTGTTAACTATTACAGTGACTAGACATGAGTATGATTATTTGATTTGCCTGTTAAGGTGCTTATTCACTGATGGGGTTTGAATTCTGAGCTGTTGTGGTACTGAAAAGCTGGGGAAAAAAAAGTCACGGTTTGATTAAGTGATTGTAAAGTCTCATCAGATGCATGATTGAAGTAAAATAATAGCTTTGAATGCTCTTTTAATTAAAACATTTGTATTCTTTTGGTAGCCAGAAGTGCAACTTGCAGAAGGCTTTGATGTCTTCATGCCCAAATCCCAGCTGGACTCTATATTATCAAACTACACTCGCTCAGGAAGTCTGCTCTTTAGGAAGCTGGTCTGTGCATTTTTTGATGACAAGACTTTGGCTAACTCTTTACCAAATGGCAAAAGGAAAAGAGGCCTCAATGACAACCGGAAAGGACTAGACCAAAATATTGTGGGTGCAATAAAAGGTATGGTTTTGTTTTCTTTCCTGTGTATAACTAGAACATACGCTCAGCGAAGGAGAGTGTAAGGGGATTAGAATTTCTGATGTGTGTTAGACCTATTAAAATACACAGTCTTACTCCTTTTCATTCACATGTTAAAAATATCTTCTACAGGGGAAGCTTGTGTTAATTTTAAGCCAGTGATCCTGTTTTCTGAAGTCAGGCTTTCAGTGTTTGTATAAGATAATTTAGATATTTTTTTCTGAATATTGGAGGTGCAAAGGAATCTTGAAAAACATAATGACAGCATAACTGATCCTCTTCCATCAAAATTCTGAGGCTTGCACTGTCTCTGGCTCTGTCTTCTCTGTAGATAGTTTAGCAGTTGGTGGCTGGACTGGGCAGAGGTGGGGAAGATAATACTGGGACTGGGAGAGCAGCCCTGTGGAGAGGGACCTGATGGTCTGGGTGGAGAACAGGCTCAACATAAGTGAACAGTGCTCTGCAGGGCAAAGAAAGCCAACAGGATGCTGGGTTGCATCAACAAGGGCATCACCAGCAGAGGTCAAGAAGTCATAATCCTGCTCTATTCAGTGCTTGTCAGACCACACCTGGAATGTTGTGTTCATCTTTGCTCCTCGCTTTACAAAAAGGATGGGACAGGCTGGAGAGGGTCCAGAGAAGAGCCACAAGGATGATCAGAGGACTGGAGGACCTGCTGTAGGAGGAGAGGCTGAGAAAACTGGGTTTGTTTAGCCTTGAGAAGAGAAGGGTTAGGGGAGACTTCATTATCATGTTCCAGTACTTAAAGGGTGGCTACCAAGAAGATGGAGACTCCCTGTTTACAAGGAGTCACATGGAAAATAGAAGGGGTCATGGGCACAAGTTGCTCATGAGGAGATTGCAATTGGACAAGAGAGGTCAATTTTTCACCATGAGGACAGTCACACCATTGGAATAGTCTTCCAAAGGAAGTAGTTGATCCCCCCACATTGGACGGTTTTAAGTCTCAGCTTGACAGGGTGCTGAGCCATCTCATATAAACTGTAGTACCTAGAAAGGTTGGACCAGATGATCTTTGAGGTGCCTTCCAACCTGGTATTCTATGATTCTATGAACTGTGGTGGTTCTCTTGTGGGAGCAAATTTCTTCGTTTTTCTTAGTGATCACTGCTCCCTAGCTTCCAGAAAAACACATGTACCTTCAAAGTCTGTGATCCCAACTTAGAAAGAACTAGTATTAAGTCAAAGATTCTGAACTGGAATCTATTATTTTGAAAGTTGATATAGTAGGGAAAATACCCAAGTTACCAAAGACAGGCTGTGTTGCAAAGTAGAGCTTATTTTAGAGGCTGTGACTCATCCTGAGGTGCAGATTGCTAACCTTGGAGAGATAAGGCAATGAGAAGAGCTTCTAGAAGTCCATTGACAGCAAAAGGAGGCAGGGGAACCTTTTGCAACCACCTCTGTGTCCACTTTTGGCCCCATCTCCCCACGCTAGAAAGATACTGACTTGCTTGAGTCCAGTGGAGGGCCACCCGTATTTATGGCACTGAAGCAGGTGAGTGGTGAAGTATGTATGTAAAGTGTCACGTGAGGAGAGGCTGAGAGAACTGGAGAGAAGAAGATTCAGGAGAAACCTGATTGATGTCCACAACTACCTAATGGAATGGTGGAGAGAAGGTGGAGTCAGACATTTCTCAGAGGCACGAGAGTCATCAGACCCCTGGAAAATTTCAGCATGAATTAAGGAAGAGCATTTTCAATATAAGGGGAGTTAAGCAGTGGGACAGTGGCTCAGAGGAGCTGTGGGATCTTCATTCCTGGAAGTATTCAAAACTTGACTGATCACAGTCTGGAACATCATGATCTAGTTGGCAGTGCTTTGAGCAGCAGGCTGTACATGGAGACCTCCAGAAGACCCCTTCAACCTGTGAAATTCTGTAATAATGTGTATGTGGTGGCCATGTCATAGTCCTAATACATTTTACAGAGTTTCTGGCAGACTTCCTTACAGTTACACTTACTGTTATGTTTCCATCACAAACACTTTTTTATACCTTGAGCTTAATAACCTGCAAAAACCCGAAGTTGAATTCACTCCATCTGTATCTTGTTCTTCCTTGAAAGTTTCAATAAATAAGTTACATGGAAGAAAAAAAGGAGTTCAAAATTAATTATTTTTTAAAAAACCCAGACTTCTAATTTGAGCAGGACTGAGGTGAAAGAAATGTTTTTCAGTAGATGCAGCAGCACTATTAAAACAGCAGTTGTCACCCACTGCAGAGAGCAATGTTTCTCAGTAGTTAAGCTCATGTTACCAGAGCAAGTTCTGAAGCTTGGTTTAACCTTGAGCCTGGGGAAAGAAAGGAGGGAGTTGTAGTTCTAACACATAAATTGCATCTGTGATGGTACTACCAGGTACTGCTGTAGTAACAACAGCCTTTATTGGCATTTACAGCATTACCAAAATGCTGGTGCCTGATCAGGGAGCCCATCCCTAAAAGCTGGGATGGAATAAGATGCCAAGGGCTGACATCCTGTGGATCTTTCTCAGCCTGGCTCCAATAGCACCCTTCTTCCCTCCAAAGAGCTGGGCTGCCAGGCACTGTGGTTTCATTTATCCCAAGAAATAACTGAGCCAGTATGAAATCTCCACGAGAACAACACCATGTTGTTTGCATTATTATCATCATTAGGACATTTCTCTGCCACGTGCCCAGATATCCGCTCGTGGCACTTTTAGTCCTTTGCCATGATAGAGGTACAAAAGTGGAGAAAAGGCTACATTCATGGCAAAAACATGCTGAGAATTTAGAAGAGGGGCTGTTTGCTGGAAAATTGCTCTTCCTGTCTGAAAACATTTTAACTGCCATCCTTACGAGTCATTTAATGTTTCTGCAACAGGATGATTTGCCATGGAAAAATTCTCTTTTGACTTTGAGTGCTCAGTGGCACTTGTTGAATCAGTTGCAGTGTTTCTCCTGGGCAATCAGTTTCCCTTGGGAGTCACATCAATCACATAAACCACTCAGAACCAGGGGGGAAAAAGATATTTTAAAAGATTTTTTTTAAAAAGATCCAAAGCGGTTTCTTTTCCTTTATGTCATTGACAGCCAGCAAAGGCCTTTCCTGCAGAAGTCAATGAGCTGTGTTCAGATATAAGTGTGATGTGTCCCTCAGGGACCCATCCTGGGACCAGTAGCGTTTAATATCTTTATCAGTGACATAGACAGCAGGATCCTGTGCACCCTCAGCAAGTTTGCAGGTGACACCAAGCTGAGTGATGCAGTTGATCTGCTGGAGGGAAGGGATGCCATCCAGAGGGACCTGGACAGGCTTGAGGAATGTGGCCATGTGAACCTCATGAGGTTCAACAAGGTCAAGTGCAGGGTCCTGCACATGGGTCAGGGCAATCCCCAGTGTCAATACAGGCTGGAGGATGAAGGTGGCCACTTAGCAGAGACTCAGAGAAGAGTCCTTTTCCCTAAGGAGAAGGACTTGGGGGTACTGGTGGATACATAATTAGTGATGAGCTGGCAATGTGCACTCACAGCCCAGAAAGCCAACCATATCCTGGGCTGCATCACAAGAAGCGTGGCCAGCAGGTCAAGGGAGATGATTCTGCCCCTCTGCTGTGCTCTATTGAGACCCCACCTGGAGTACTGTGTTCAGTTCTAGAGTCCTTAGCACAAGAAAGACATGGAGCTGTTGGAGGAAGTCCAGAGGAGGGCCATGAAAATGGTCAGAGGGCTGGAGCACCTCTCCTGTGAAGACAGGCTGAGAGAGTTGGGGCTGTTCAGCCTGGAGAACATGAGACTCTAGGGAGACCTTACTACAGACTTTCAATATGTAAAAGCTTGTGGGGCTTTGAGCAGAATGATCTAGTGTAAGATGTACCTGCCCTAGCAGGGGAGTGGTCTAGATTAAAAGTCTCTATAAACTCAAACCAGTCTATGACTCTATGATACAGGGGTTGTTGGCACTGTACAGCTCATGTAGACTAGAAAGGGGAGATCTCACTTCTCCTGCCTCATGCCTATTACATTCACATTCCTTTTTGCTTGTGTTGGTGTTTCAATAACCACACGTTAAGCAATCAGAGCTATTTTGACTTTCATTCAAGAGTCACATGCAAGTCAGAGAAGAGAAGCAAGTTAATGTATTTGCTCTCCAAGGCTGCTGGGCTCTGGCTTCCTGAGCAGACAACGGTGGACAGTAGTTATAGTTCCTACAGTAGGCACCTGTGGGTACAGCCTACTGTTGTCCCCAAGCCCTGGTCACAAGCAGGAACTCAGTTGTGTGTTCAAAATAAGTAGGAGTTGTAAGTCATTGATCAAGTTCCTATTGTGTCAGGCACTGTATGGATTCAGAAGGTAGAGATTATTTTTACCCTCAGACCATAATGGTTGCAAATCAGACACTGGAGATGGGTAAGGCCTGTATTGACTTTTCTGGGAAGCCCTCAGAGTTGGTCTGACATCCTTGCTCATCAGACTACAGAGGAAAGTGTTGCTGATGCCTTTCATCAATGGTTTTGTGAAGCTGGTAACATGGAAGGGTTGGGAGGGTGTGCTTACTTTCTGTCCCTTTATACTTACCAGCCAGCACTGTTCAAAACGTGTGTATAAAAATACTGAAGTTGTCACTTTTGTTGCATGCTTCCCTGTCCCATTGATGTGACATTTTATTCTCGAAGATTACAAATTCCTTGAACTGGGACCAGTTTTCTCTCTTTGTTTGCCAGTCATAATTGGACACTGGGCTCTGAGACCTCGGAGCAAGGCTACAACAGCAATACTAACAGTAATAACACTTTTTCTATTTCTGCTCTTGTTTATTTTTTGCACGCCTCTCAGTTGTGTGGTGAAAATCAATTGCAGCAGTTTCACTCCGTTTATAATGTTGTAGTTTTGGGATAACATTGCTAGGTTTGCTGTAAATATGGAATTAAAGATAACGACCCTCTATGTACCAGTTTTACAAAATGTATAATTGGACCTATAGGATACTTCTTTTTTTTTTTTTCTCAAGAATGGCTTTTTTGCTTTTTTAGTAGCTTTATAAAAATTCTATTGTATATAAAAATTCCACCTGGTTTGGCAGCGTAGAGATTTTCAAAGTGGTAGGACTTTTCTTTTTCATTAGTTTGCCTGCAGCCTTAGGAACCTGACCAGCCTTAGGCCACCAGGAGACTCTCTACTTGTTCCATATGGAAGGCAGCATTTTTAAGTACCTGCCACATCTGGAGACTCAGTTCAAAGTACACTATCATTCTGCTGTGATGTCTTTGTGTGAAATTCATGAATGGAAGACATCAGGTGTAGACTGTTCTTCTGGGATTGGCTTTTATAAGTAGTAACTATGGTATTACTGTGATAGTTATACACACAAATGACTTCTGAATTATGAACTCCTGAAACACTGAGTTGGACCCAGTTCTCCCAGTCCTAGATTTGGCCATTTAAATACTTTTTAATGAGTGGATAATTTACTATATTTTGTTTATAATCCTCTCCAGTCTCCTTTTCTCCATTCTGGTGACACATTTCCAAAAGATGGTATCTTTTTATTTCAGTCTTCACAGAAAAATACTGCACTGCTAACCATGTGGATAAACTTCCTGGTCCCAGGGACTGGGTCCAGATTCTTCAGGATCAAATTAAACTGGCAAGAAGGCGATTAAAAAGAGGCTCAGGTATGTATAAAAATATAAGGAAAAACGTGTGAGCCTTTGCATCCACAGAAGTGTTTTTCTTGTTGACTGTAAAGTTGTACTTGCTCACCCTATGAAAATTACACCTCTAAAATTTTAGCAGGTTCCTGTGTAAAATACAGTGTTTCCTTATGCTTGGTATGGTAGCAAGTTTAGGAGCTGTCTTTGCAGCCAAGTTAACTTTGAGTCTTTCTCAAATGTTTTCTCTAAGCCCTTTCCATTAGCACCCAAACTCTTTTTCCCAGTGTTTGGTGACATCTGAATCCTAAACTATCTGATCCATCTGGGGCTGCAGGCAGAAGTTTTTTAATTCTGTGTTGTGTGATCTGACAAGCCACTCACTATACTGTTAAGACATAGCCCAAACAACCTTTCCCCCTAAACTATATGTTTTTGGAAGGATAGATGAGTTTTCTCACATTCCTTGTGAAAGAATCACCAGCACTGTACCTAAAAAAACCAAACCAAACCACCCACCCTGGTTGTGCCACAAGGTCCTGCAATACATAGGAGGGAGCTCACCAGCAGTGAGTAAGGGGTAGTGTAGGCAGGGTTTTGCAGCAAAGCTGCTCAGCTTGGGCTGGGGTGTCCTGCATGCTTGATGTTGGGACCATCCTGTAGGCTCAAAGTTAAGTTCCCACCCTGGCAACATGCAGCTGGTGAGCTCTCAGCAATGTGCAGTCTCAAAATCCCCAGCAGAATTAATGGGAAAGCAGTATCACTGGTTGAGAGACATGTCATTACTTTGTAAACCTTAAGCAGTCTCCTTCCCATCTTCATGCCTCCTATCCTACAGGGGGCTTTCTTCATACAAGGCTTCACTTACTTTTCTTCATCCAGGTGTTTTCTTAAGGCTGTCTCATAGTTGTATTTCTTGCCCGTTGCTCACGTAGAGCATCTGACATGGTTGTCTGAGGCCCATCACTTGTGCCAACGTCTTCAGACATGATCCTTCACTGTGACTGTATTTAGCTGCCTGCCTTTTCCCCTCTTCCCTTCTGCCCTTCACCACCATTAAGTCCCTGTTTGCATCGGCATGTGGACAGGATGGGAAACCTGATGGCTCTGCAGGGGATGCTGGTGGCCCCCATGGCAAAGGGAAAGAGGGCAAGACTGCAGGAAACGTCCTTTCCAGTTCCCTGTCTCAGAGAGACAACATCTGCTGTCCAAAGCATTGTCTCTGAAGCACATATTTAGGCTGCATCTGAAATCCTTCTCCACAATGTTATTAATGCCAGGAGGGAAAAGTGTAAGACTGAGGAAAATGAGAAACACTCAGAGACAGAAATAACACAGGAAGAGAAAAATAGTGCAGATTATTCAGGAGCATAATTTTTCCTGAGTAGAGAAGCAAACTAGCACTGGCCTTTAAAAGGGTTTCTTGTGTGTGTTGAAGGAGGGAGAAGAGAGGGATACAAGATAATCTTGTTAAACACAAGTGGTGGTGGCCACTTAGCCCATTGCCCCCAGGACAGGAGGGTGGAAGTGGGATGCCAGGTTTCAATAAAGTGAAGTATTTCAGTCAGAGATATGGGGAGCAGAGGGTCCTTGGGCTGTCTGCAGAGCCTCCCTCGGGAAAGAGGATTGACCTAATTTTGTTTTGATTTTTATTTTCTATCATCCTTTTTTATTTGCTTTTCTTCGTGCCTCTGCAGAATATTAATTAAAGTGACAATGACATTCAGCTTTTGCCTTTCAAATGAGACCACCTCCATCTCTGGTCCTTTCTCAGGGTGGGAGAATCTAAGCAGAGGATATTGTCTCTGAGCTAGCAAGACTATGAAGAAAAGTGGAGCTGAGTATAGTGTGACTGAATAAGCTAGGCTCCAATATCTGTCTCTGTGTGCAGAAAGAAAGGTAACCCTTTAACCACTGTGTGAATTAGTAGTGAGCAGCAATGTACCTGGCAGCCCCTCAGGTTTATTTGCTGGGAAAAAAGTACATGGTAACTGGATTGCTAGAAAAGCTTAGTTTGCTGGCCATGCTCTGGAGTGCACTGGTTCCTCTGACAGGAGGCCAGAGGCAGATGTGCCTTTTTGGATCTAGCAGGAAT